GCAGAGGTGCGGCCCCTCCACCTGGCTGAAATGCCACCACCGTCCTCCAAGTCCCACAAGAATCCCTCCCAAGAGCAAGCCGTTTGAGCGTGTTGGGGGGGGGTGCTGTGCGGACTCAGATTTGGGGGTGGGGGACACAGAGAGGACTCAAGGGGAGGTGGGCATGTCCACCGCCAGCTCAGGCCTCAGCGCCAGCCTCAGTGGCAGGGACCGGCCCCACCCTGGGGATCGGACCTGCCCGGATGGTCCCGCCCAGCCCGCAGAGGTCAGCATGCCCTGATCAACGCCGCCAGACAGGTGCCCCCAGAGAGGCACATTCCCCCGGGAGACGCCAGACTCTGTCTTCACTGTGCCAGACAGGAGGCGGACAGGGGCCCGGGACAGAGCAAGGCCCCAGAGGGCAGAGACGGAGCAGAGAGGGCCGAGTCCCTGGGCCTCAGTTTCCCTGTGGACATGGTAGGAACCCAGAGGGGAGTCGCTCACCTTTGGAGGCCACGGATGGGGCTGACCCAGATGCCACAGTGCAGGGGTCAGAGGGCAGGGGCGACCCCAGACTCACAGCCAGGAGCCCAGGCAGAGACCCATCACCTCCGGGGGCCTAACTCTGATCCGATGAGGGTAGGGACAGTCCTCACTTTGCAGATGTGCCGTGAGAACTAAAGGAGCGGATGCACAGGGGTTAGCGAGGCCCAGCGCACACCGGGGAGCCTCATCCTGGCGCTCCGATGCCCTTGCTAACGCTTCTCAAGATCTGGGACTTGTCACTCACCTGGGAAATGGGTGACTCCCACCTCCGGGGGCAAACAGCTGGAGAGGCAAATGCTCAAACAGCAGTGTGCCCTGAGGCCGGCCAGACAGCCAGGTGGTGCTGCCTGCCGATTCCCAAGGCCTGGGCTGGGCATGGGGGTCCCTTCTCAAGGCACCCAACCTACACAGACACCTGGCAGCCCAGTGACGCCCTCCAAGCATGAATATTTATTTAGGGTTTGCAGAGAAGAGGCACATGGAGCACTTGAAGGCACTCTGCAGAGAGAAAGGGACCACAACACCTTGCAGATCCAGGAGGGGCTCCCCCAGCCAGCCCGGGGCTGACCCAGGCTCTGCCAACGGCTGCTGCTGGCACCTGAACATCAGGCCCCCCACGCACAGCCATCCCAACACCCCAGGGCCCTGCCAGCCAAGCGCTCTTAGAAGGAGGCAGAACTGGGATTCACACCCAGCCTCATGGGTGGTGAGAGCCTTGAGCTTCGGGGAGAATGAGGGCCAGACCCAAGTGCACACAGCACACACCAGGCCTGGTAGTGAGACAGTGCTGGGCGCACGTTCCCAAACCAACCCCACAACTCTGCACCAGAGCCCAGGACTGGCAGCCAGGCAAGCCCTTTGGAAACATGGCCCCGTGCAGCCAGCGTCCCCGGGCTGAAGGGGAGCAGCCCCGCCACGCCGAGGATGCGTGAATATTTCATGGGCAGCTCCCTGCTGGTCTCCAATCATGGTTTCAATTGTCACGAGACAATTCAGAATTTCCAGCTCGGGCTGCCGGGCTGCCATGGGCCAGACAGCCAGCTTGGGCAGAGCAATTACTTTAAAAGCTTCCACCAGAGCTGCTCACGACACCGGCTCCCCCAATTGTGTGTCTGCAGCAGTGGCCACACCCTTCAGCCCCGGAGCGCCCGTCTCCCTACACAGGAAGCAGACATCCTGAGGGCTGCTGGGCACAAGGAGCGGAAAGTGCAGGAGACGGACGAGGGCTACCGGTGGGTGGGTAAACTGAGGCCCCCCCAAGGGAGCAGCTCCACAAAGGCAGGGGTCGTAGCTTCTCCCCTTCACATTTCCTGCGCCTGACTCACGGTGCACGCGTGGACAGGCAGATGGCCTGACGGATGGAGACACTGAGTGACACTGCAGGAACCTCTCACCTCACCTGCTCGGATCCATGGCCAGACCGCCCGCTGGTCTACCTCTGCATCAGCTCCTCTGCCTTTGGGCCACACTCCCGCTCTCCTCCCAATCTCCCCCTCTGGTATCTGGTTCCAACTTTACTCCCCAGCTTTCTCAGCCTCCATGCTCTGTCTTCTCACTTGCCCCCAGTAGCCACCCTGCCTTGCTGTGTCAAGTACACCTGTTCGGGTGACCTCAGGGCCTTTACACATGCTCTTCTTTGAAGGATGGGTTCCCGGAGGGTAGAAAAACTTCTCCAGGAGATCCCTCAGTCTCTTACTCAAGACCCTTCAACGCAAGGGCGCAGGTGCCCTTTTCAGCACTGTGTTCCAAATATAGCTATGGTGTGTGTGTGTGTGCGTGTGTGTGCGTGTCTGCCTAATTGGTTCAGCCAAAACGGGCAGGAGCCGTCCATCTCTGCACCTCTGCAATCACAGGCACAAAACATGCACTCTGTAAACTAAGAGGCCGGCAGACGAGGGTCCCAGGCCAGGGCTCTTTTCACTATTCTGTGCAGATGGTAACAGGACCACAATAATAAAAATAATAATAAAATTCTTGTGATGCCCACAGGGCTTCTCATTTTGCTTCGGCTGCCAGGAATCCCAGAGTGCAACAGAACACTTCTCAAAGATCTTACTTGATCCTACGGGGTCCTCTCAACTGTTAGAGCTTCCACCTCCCTCCTCCTGGCAGATGGAAAAGGGAGTGCAGCCAGTCGCTCCCCTGCCACGCGGGTCCCCCTAAGAGCACGGCCTCCCTCAGAGCTTCTGGGAGCTGCTGGGAGCCCTCCAGCTGGCCCAGCAGAGGCCTGAGGAGCAACCCTCGGGGGCTTCATCCACCCCCAGCAAAGCCAACGCTTCCCCTCATCATCGGGGGTGTCGTCCACACCATCAGCACCCTCCTGCACGCCGAGCACCCAGCCCTCAGCCTCACGCCTTCATGGGGAGGTGCTTCAGAAACCAGCCTGCACCCCGCCTCAGAGACCTTGCTCCAGCGGCCCCTGGGATTCTTGGGGCAGTGTGGCCACTCTTCTGTCCCATGACTGTGACCAGTGATCCTGCCCCATGCTTGTGGGGTGGAGCCGGTGACCCCAGCCAACCACAGCCCTAAGCACTCTTCTCCACAAAGGGGTTGTCCAGGAATGGGAGTGTAAGTTGTACCCAGCCAATCAGCACAGGCAAATCCCCCTGCCCACTCTAGGTAGAGTCCTGCGCTAGGCAAGACAAGGGTCAGCTCTGCTCTCAAGGAGCTTAACCATTGGTCAGCACAACAGGTTTAATCAATCACCATATAAATATTCATTTTAGTAAGAACAATGGGAAAGGACTCTCCTCACTTGCACTGGGTATTGGTATCAGAAACACTGCTTAGAGAATTGTCTGGGTTTTCTGCATCCATGTGGCTGAAGATACATGCCCAATAGGTTCACTGTGAACCTGTGTGACAAGTGCATTTGTCCCAGAGAGTAAAGCTCCTATTAGAAGAAGCCTTTCCCAGGAGCAGTCCGTCGCTTCCCTTCCTGGTGGACGCGACCCCAGCCGTCCTCTCTGATTCCTGATCCCCCTGCCCTCACAGTGAAAATGCTTGTGACCTGAGGTGTCAATACCTAAAGGAGAACCGCGAAATGTTCTTTTTGGAAGATGCAAAAGTAAGGTCGTAAAAGGCATGTTTTGGCCCATACCAGTCACCGAACACCTTCCCGCCTCCCTGATCACGCCCTGCCTACATAGCTCTCCCGCACAGACGCTCCCTAGCAGTACAGCAGGGGAAGGAGACAAGTCCATTCCATCAGAAGAGGGGTCCCTTCCTACCTGACCAGCCAGCACAGCCACCCTGGGGAAGAAGGAAGCAAAAACAAGAGTCAAGCCACCTGGCAGGTGCCTGTGCCCCTTAGCCCAGCTCCACCTGGGGCCAGCCCCTCGGTTTCGTCATCTTGTCTGTGTCTCAAAGAAGGGGATCCCCTGCTCGCCCCATTTACAGATGAGGAAGCTGAGGCTGGGTGAGGCTCTCTGACTTGCCCAGAGCCACACAGCCAGTCCAAGACGCAGAGATCCCAGCTCAGGCCATCAGGTGCCAGAGGCAGGATTTCTTTGCAACCACAGAAGATTCCTTGGGAACAAGAGCAGGCAGAGAATCTCTCTCTTTCTCTCTCTCTCTCTCTCTCTCTCTCTCTCTCTCTCTTTCTCTCTCTCTCTCTCACACTCACACACACACACACACACACACAGAGGCACCCGCTGGAAACAAAACCTGGAAAACTGTTAGTGTGCAGGGGTGGGTGAGTCAAAGCCAACCCAGCCAGGCGCCTGTGCAGCCCTCTGTAGGGGGGCACCAGTGGTTGCCTCCATTAAGCCCAAAGATGCCCAAAAGCTCCAGGTCAGAAGCGCCCTGGCTTAGCAGCTCTGGGCAGGGCCACCACCAGGCCACTTTCACTCATAAAACATGGGGGGAGGGGGGTAAGAGAAGGGGGAGGCTGGAATCCCCATGGCGCAGGGCGGTCAGCAGGCTGCACGTGCGCGGGGCAGTCCCTGGGCCAGGTCTGCAAGAAAGGCGCCAGAGACTGGTCCCTTAACCCTTAACGACCCTGTGTGCCCCGAAAGCCCACTGGCTTCCTAAAGCGGTCCCCACTGTTGAGGGTTGCCGGGAGGGACAACGCCACTCCCCTCCAACGGCACGACAGGCTGCAGGGACCCAGGCGAGCTCGGGTCGGCTTTCACCTTCGGAGGTCGGGGCGCGGGTCCTGGGTCGGCTGCCCGGGCCAGGCTGCCCCGGAGGCGCGGATGAGCAAGGAGCCAGGGCGGGCGCGGGGCCGTGCGGTCTCTCTCGCGGCAGCTGTCGGCGAGCACCAGGCGGCGGGGAGGCGCCGCCGCGGACTGCACCTCATGAAACATTCATGCCCGCCGCCTCGCTGCCCTCTCCCGGAACCTTGCGCCCTGGCCGCGGCCCCGGAGCCCGCGGCCGTCGGCGGGCAGGCTGGCCGCTCTGCTCCCCGAGAATGGCAGGCCACAGCCCGCCTCGCTGTCCCATCCCACAGCCCCCCGCAGCTGCAGGCGCAGACTCGGCGCTTTAGGGAAGCAGGTTCGGCCAACTGGTTTCCCCAACGAGGCTCCGGATGAGTGGCGACGCGGGGGAAGCCGGTGGTCGCGAATGTGAGAAGGGTCGGCTCCCACTTCCCGCTCGGTCCTGCCCATCTCCCAGCGGCCGCCAGCCAGGAACAGGCCTAGGGACCACATGGGTCGAGGCCTCCCGGCCCAAGGATGATCGCTAGAGGGTGTGCAGGCGCGGGCACTGGACAAGAGGCCATGAGCGCCTGAACTCGTGCACTCGGCGCCTTCTTTCCTCCACAGCCCAGGCCCTGAGGAGGGGGCCGGCTGCCCCTCCCCGCACCCCCGTCACACACACCGAAAGCCTGATCTGTCCTCAAACCTCGGTGGCCAACAAGCTCTGCGCAGCGACTCTTCGCTGCCAATAACTTGCAAACCCAGCTGGACCCGCAGGCTGGGCAGAAAGGGGCAAGGTCGACTCTCCAAACCCCAGCTTGGCTGGAACCTGGCCGGACCCCGGGAAACTCCAGCCGGACCCACGCTAGGCCCAGCCCCTCACGTGCCAGGTGGGAAACTGAGCCCCGGAGAGAATGCGCGTCGGGGCTGGGCTGGGATCCACAGCGGCCTCGTCCGCCTGAGGCCGGGCCTCTCCGCAGCGCGCGCAGTCCCCCGGCGCTCCTCGGACTGCTGCCCCGGCCGGCCGCTAGCCGCACGGACCTCAGCCCGCGCCCGGAGGGAGGCCGGGACCCCTGGCCCGTGGGACAGCGCGCCGCCCCCTCCCCGCCGGTCCCGGCCGGCGCCTTCCCCTCCCCCCCCCCCATTCCCGCCTCCCCGGCCCGTGTCCCCGCCTTCCCCGCAGGCGACGGGCGGCGGCGGCAGGAGGAGCGGGTCGAGCCGAGGCAGCCCCGACCTTGCGCGCTGGGATGTAGCGAACCAGCCGGGGCCGAGGCAGCGCGCACAGCTGGAGACAGAGCTGGATCCGGGGCCCCGGCCGGAGCCGAAACCTGAGCCAGAGTCCGCGGCGGGCGAGCCCAGAGCCGCTGAGCCGCCGACGCAGCGCTGCCCGGGTTGGGTAAGAAACGCCGGGCTCTAGGGGCGCGGGGTCTCCGCGGTGGAGGGGCGTGCGGAGGTGGCGGCCGAGTCCTGCGCTCTTTGATCCCGGCGAGCACGGGGTGCAGCCGGCGGTGCGGAAGGTGCGCGACGCTCGGAAGGTCGGGCGCCCTCGAGGCAGCGCGAGGAGCGCGTTCCTAGCCCGGTGCATGGCCGCAGCTGCCGTCACCCGGAGCCACCTCACCTAAGCAGGGAGCTCACCTTGCGCCTCGGCCCCGGGGCATCCCAAGAGGGCAGCAGCCTCGGGGGCGCGGGCCCGGGCCCCACGACGGGCGCAGCCCTGGAATCCTTCGCAGTCCTTTGCGGCGGTGCGGCGCATAGGGGGCCTCGGGGAGCCGAGGGCAGGCGAGAGGGCGGCCCGGCACTCCGGCTGCGTCCGGGGATGGGGGCCCCAACAGCGGCGGAAGTGCTGGCCCCTCTGCGCGGCTCGGGACTTCTGCCGCGGCTTCGCGTCAAGAGGGTATTTGTCCTAAACGAAACCGCTTCGTTCGTTCGCTCGTTCGGGCAGCGATGCCGCACAACAGCAGCAGACCTCGGCCAGAGCCCGGCTCTCTTCGCCCCGGACCCCGACGCCCGCCGCAGCGCGGGACGGTGCGCCCAGCCCACGGCGGCCTGCCCTCGCCCGCTCGGGTCGGGCTTCACTCTCCCCTGGGAACCCCAGATGCCCTTCACAGAGTCTAATAAAGACATTCCCGCGGCTTCTCCCGGGCTTCGTGGTTAAGGCAAGGTCCCCGCATACCCAGCTGCTGCTCTCGAACGGGGTCTCCGCACGCTGACGGAGACCAGCCCCCGAACAACTCCGCGGCGGCCACACAGAGCCCTGAGGCCGGGAGCGCGGCATTGGGCGCCCCAGGCTGAAACTGCAGCCCCAGAATTTTCTGATTTAGGAATTCTCTGAATCTAAAAATATGCGAGCCCCTTTTTCGGAGAAAACGAAGGCTTGGGTGTTCTCTTGGATTCCCAGTGGGTTCTGAGATCCCACAGGGCCAGAGGGAGGAAACCAGTTTGCTGTCTAGTTGCTGAAAAGGCAGCGCTAGGGCAATGGCGAGGTCCAGCCAGAGCGCAAAGCTGCAGGCAGGAGAGGCACTGGAGAGAACCTGCCCTGTCCCCTGTCCTTTCCCCCTGGCTGCTGGGGGGCTTGGGAGAGAAACAGAGGTGGGCTGGGGCGGGGAGATGCAGAGGCCACAAGGGCTGACCCGGGAGGAGGAGACCCTCCAAGGGCCCTTCTCCCAGGAAAGAAGCTGCCTGTCGTGTGACCCTGGGCTGCCACCCTCCTGGGCTCTCTCCCCTCCAGCACCGCCATTCTCAGGAACCAGATAGTGTCCTGTGGACATGGGGTGAGCAGTGGACCAGGAAGACCTATGGGCCCTGCCAGCGGCTCACAGAGCAGGGGAAAGCACAGAGTCCCCAGCTCCCAGCCCTCGGGCTGTGCCCTGTGGCAGTCACCCTGCTGGAGCCCAGACTGGGAACCCCGAGGGGCGCGAAGCCTCGGACTGGGGCCCTCAGCAGCCTGAAGAGCCCGCTGGGGTTATTCCAGCATCTGCCAGAGCACCCCTGCTCCCCGTCGCCCGGTAACAGCTTGTATTCTGGAAACAAGAGCTTTTATTGGGGAGGGGGCGTTAGATCAGGCACAAGGAGGTAGGTGGTCCCCGCTGTACTCCCAAAACTGGGTTTTCTAGTTTGAACTTCTCCACGGCCTAAGAGGCTTAGGACTGGAATGTCCCGGAGAGTCATGGATGGCCCCGGGGGCAGGCCATGGCACATTCCTTCCTTTTTCCTAAAATCCCTTGGTCCTGGGAGCAAGGATTAGAGTAGGTACCCCCATGGGTGGGGAGCAGGGTGCCCCCATGAGGACCTTCCAATGATCCTTCCCAAATTAAATGACTAAGCCACACTTAGGCACCGCGTCCATTTTCGAGCGAGCCCAGCTTTTCAGAATGGGCCCCTGTGACTCCCTGAACCCCAACGATGGCCCTGGCCCCTCTGCTGAGCCCGGCCAGGACCGTAAACCCCAACCTTCTTGAAAGCGACAGCCATTCCTGGTTTCGTGTGGCCGGAATGGAATGGGCAACATGGTTCCCGCTCCAGTAAGCCCCCTCCTCTCCTCTCCTCTCCTCGTGTCCCCACTGGAGGCCTTAACATCAGGCACAAAGTCTCATGTCAGACAGAGCAACTGAGGCACAGTGCAGGTGAAGCCATGCTTAGGGTCACACGGCAGAGGGGGGACACTGGGCCTCTGCTCTTACTCCTGTGTGTGTGTGTGTTTGTGTGTGTGTGTGTGTGTGTGTGTGAGAGAGAGAGAGAGAGAGAGAGAGAGAAAGCACCTACTCTGGGACAGTAGGTGGTGGGTGGATGTAGCTAGGGAAGAAGAGAGAGTCCGGCCAGGTCCCCTCTCCAGCCAAGCCCAGGACCATGCCACAGCCTCCATCAACCATTTCCTTGCCCCTTGGTCCTTCAAGGTTGCCCAAGCCCAGCCGCACAGACACCGCCCACCCCACCCCCACAGGCAGTCTTCACTAGCCTCAACTCTTCTCTGGGGTGCAGGGCCCAGGCCATACAGGGCTTCACCCACAAAGAGCTGAGGGCCTGTCCATCCACACAGGCGGGCATCGAGATTTCCAAATAAAGAGAGTGTTATGCCTGCTTGGAGCACTGCCCAGAAGGCACACAGCAGGTGCTCAATAGCTGCATTAAATTGTACCCACAGTGCCAGAAGCGAGCCCCTCAGACAGAGTAGCTGGAGCTGTTGGGTGTAAGATCCCAGGAGGACTCGCCTCTGTGGGGCCCCTGGGAGTGGAGAGGCTGTGACCCCCACCTCTGGATGCCCAAGGGCGAGCATTTGTGTCTCTGCCGCTGTCCAGAGATGCCCGATGCTCAGCTGGCTTGGAGCACACTGCCTTCCCTGCCAGCCAGCTGTCAGACCAAGTGCACACAAGTGAATGTGTGTGTGCATGGCACACCTGTGTGGGTATGCAGTACCAGTGTGTGCGCCTTCTCTTGGGCACTGCATCCAGGCTGTTCTGCACAGCGCATAAAGGGGCGCTCCCTAACACCTAGATGTAGGGGGCATCTACGGCCAAGAAACGTGGTCAAAGGTTGAGCGGAGGGCAAATGCCTGGCAACCGCGATTGCCCACGTCCTTCTCTCCCTGGCGCAGACTAACTTCACCCTGGGGGTCTCAACTTGCTAGGACAGGGGCCTTCACTGACTCAGACCAGTGGCCAGTGTCCTCCTTCGGAACTCAGCCTTGGAACCTGCCTCCCACGGTTACAGACACTGGGTGACAGTGGGGCAGGCCGTAGGGAGGTGCGCGTGGGGCTAAGGCCTGATTCCACGCTGCCTGCCTGCCTGCCCGTGCTTGCCAGAGGAACTCAGCCTGGTGGCCCGGGGGGCCTCCCTCTGATGGGGGTGGGGACAGGGGGAGGGCTGGAAGGCAGAGCCTGGGGAGCACCCCAGGCGCAGGCACCCACAATCAGCCCCAAGCAGAGGCCCCAGGAGGAAATGCAGACGCCAGGGGCCCTGGGCCCTCAGGGGGGAGCAGTGCCTCCCTACCAGGCTGCTGTCCTGCTTAGCTTCTGCTCCCCTGGGCGACTAGGTCCCGCGGAGCTGCTCAGCAGGTGAGGGGCAGAGGGCAGCCTGGGGTCTGCCTGGGGTCCGAGGAGCGGGGGTCAGGGACGCGCCCTACAACCGAGGCTATGGCCTGTTTGCTCAAGGCGCAGAGGCCTCAGGGCCAGTTAACAATTGTTCAGCGAAATCCTTCGACAAACCTCACTGAGGACACAGGCAGGGAATGCCTCTTGGGAGGTGGGGAGGGTGCGGTCTTTGCCTGTCCCAGAGCCGGCTCCTAGCGCGCTGCTCAGCTCCCACTGTAGGTAAGGAGAGAGAGTCCGGAAGACGCAGGGCTGGGGGATGGCAGTCACCTGGCCTAGCCATCCTGTGCCCCAAGCCTTGGGAAGCACCCTAAGAAGGGCAGAGGCTGCCTGGGCCAAACCGGCAGCTGCCAAGGCCAGGGCCTGGCCCACAAAGGGGCAAAACAAGGGGAGAGGCCAGGAGAGGCTGCCGGGCGCGCCGCGCTCCCGGGGTCTCCTGCCGCACTCTCTGGGCGCCAAGAGCCAACCGAAAACGTTGCGTCTGATTAGAAGCCATCATTTCTATCCCAATCCCGGAAAATTGACTGCGGTGCAGGGAGGGAGGCCGGAGGAGCAGCCTTGGGGGAGAGGGTCCGAGCTAATTAGGAGGCAGCATCCGGGGGCCCATTAGCGCGCAGGCTGCTGTCACTCAGCCGGCTGGGTCCCCCGGAGGAGAGGACCGGGAAGGAGGGGCCGGCGGCCCCCGACGAGGACCCCGCTGGGAGCGGCCCCCCGCCCTGGCGCTGGCTCCGCGGCGCCCGCTCCGCGAGATTCCGCTCGGCGAACACTCACTCGTCCCGGGCTGTGCTCGCCGGGGGCGGGGAACCTCGCGGCGGCCCAGACGGGGGTGGATTCTGTGCCCAGCAGGCCACTGGGGGCCCGAGGTGCGCCCGAGCCGCGCGGGACTGCCAGGCCAGATGCGTCTCTTTTGTGCGGCCGAGGGAGAGCGCGGTGTGTCACCGCGGAAGCAGGGAGAGGCGCGGCGAGGCCGCGGGGGGCGGGGAGCGGCGGGAAGGTGGCTGCGGAGGGAGGGCGCGGACGAGGCAGGGCGGGCGGGAGGGCGCGGCGGCGGGGCGGCTCGGGGCTGGATTCCGCCCGCGCGCCCTCGCCCGCTCGCTCGCGCCCTCCCTCCCCAGCCCCCTCCCACCCGGGCCCACCCCACCCACCACCCCTGGCGCAGGGACTGCTGGAACCTGGCGGTGCGCGCTGTCGCTTTAAGACAGACTCTGCTGGCGCCGTCCGGAGCCTTAGAAACCGGCCCCGGATCGGGAGCCGGAGCCGGAGCCGGAGCCGGGGCCGGGCTGGCGGCGGAGGCCCGAGCGGCGGGAGCGCAGAGCGGAGCGCGGAGCCAGGCGCCCGGTCGCTAGAAGCCGCCGCCGCTGCCGCCGCCGCCTGCCCGGCCCCGCAGTCCCGGGCGGTCCATGGGGCGGGCGCGGCGTCGCTGCGGGCCCGGGCAGCCCTGGGGGGCAGCCGCTTAGGAGCTGCACTCTTGTCCCCGCAGGTCGCAGCCAGGGCGACCGGGCGCACCGAGCCCCGGCCCCTGGAGCGCCCGCCGCGGTCCCCACCTCCATGGACGCCTTCAAGGGGGGTATGAGCCTGGAGCGGCTGCCGGAGGGGCTTCGGCCACCGCCGCCACCGCCGCATGACATGGGACCCGCCTTCCACCTGGCCCGTGCCGCTGACCCCCGCGAGCCGCTCGAGAACTCAGCCAGCGAATCGTCCGACACGGAGCTGCCAGGTAAGCACGGTGCCCACGCGGCGCGCACGGAGCAGCCCGGGCGCGGGGCTCGGGGCGCGGGGCCCGGGGCCTGGCGCCTGACGCCCGCTCCGCACGACCTGGCTCGCTCTCCCCCCCAGGAGCGCCGGGAACTTTCTTTTTTCCTTTTCTCGAGCTGGCCGGGAACGCGGAAATTTACACGCACGCACAGGAAGGTGCTCCCACACGGGAGGCCGACAGATGCGCTAGCCCGTGGTGGAGGGTTTGCGCTGAGCCCCCGAACGCACGGAGAGGGAGGCAGTTGGGTTTGCTCAGAAGAGCGCCGTGGGGTCGCTCGCACTCCGGGAGGCTAGCAGACCGAGGGCACACCGTGGGGGTGACGGACGAGAGAAAGTGCCTGGAGGGGCGGGAAGGGGCAGCCGACGAGAAAGGGCGGGTGGGGAGCACAGTGTGGGCCGGGGCGGGGGGTGGGGGGCACCACCGAAGGAAAGGCACCGAGCGCGGGCCAAGGGGCGAACCCCGAGGAAGGGATCCCTGCCCACGTGTGCGGCCGGGGCCCGGCCTTGGCTCGGGCGCCTCTCCCTGCGCGCCGCTCTTCTGTCTGAGAGCTCGACCTGCGGTCCCAGCCGGGAGCCGGCCGGGCGGGTGTCCGGCGCGGGCAGTGGCTCGGCCAGTCCGCGGTGGATGCCGGCTGCCGGGCGGTCCCCTCTGGCCGGCCCCACGGGTCGTGGGCACCGCCTCCGCGCTCACGCCTTGCTCCAGGCCGAGGGTCTCCAATCTCTCTTTGCTCCCGCTCTGCATCCCGAAGCGACTCTGCGGGAGGCTCTGTTCTCTTGGCCGAAATGCAGCCCGCGCCGGACGGTGTTTTTTGTGCTCCCGAGTTGTGAACGTGGTCTGCGGCTGGCTTTTCTTTTTAAAGTCCAGAGAAACGCGTAGCTAGAAGTTGATTTTTAAAGTCAAATCTATGAGGATGAATGAACTATTCTAACTGTACAGGCGTTTTTTCGATCTTGAAAGAATGAATGCACGAAGTGTAGTTGTCTGGAATTTAAAAGTCTCCACGCAACATTAATCTTGGTGAGATTTTAAAAAGTTTGTCCAAAATGGCGCGTTTCTCCAGGATTTTCTCAAAATCGATTTCAAGCGATATTATTTGGGGATTTTAAATTTTCGAACTAGAATGCTTCTCCGGGATTTAAAATTTATCACTACAAGGGCGTTATTGGGAAGGGCTTAAAAAATCTATCTACAGCAGCACACTGATCAACAGCAACAATAAAAACATCCTCGAGAAACAAACGGTGCGTGCGCCCGCACAGCTCTGCGCTCGGTGGGCGGCGTGTGTGCGCGGGGGCCCGGGCTTCCTCGGCGCGCTCTCTCGGCCCCGTACCTGCCTGTTCTGGAGAACGTGCGGCCCTGTCCACGTTTCCAGGCACAGCGCCATCAGCTTTTCTGCGCTTCTGTGCTTGGGTTTTAAATTCTTTTTCTTTCTGTGCCACCATTCCTGTGGAGACGGAGAGGCTACAGCCCGAAGTCGCCCGCACAAGAATGTGTCCGGACAGCGGGCTCTGCAGGCCCCGCGGCCGAGGCCTGCGAGTCAGGCCGCTTCCGTGCCCAGCGCGGGCTCCCATGCAGTCCCGGGAGGAAGAGAGCGGCCGGCCTTGAGGCCGCTGCCCCCACTGCTTTCAGACTGGAAAGATCTGCTTCACGAAAGCAGGACTCCCTCAGAGTTAGACCCCCAGAAGCTCTGGGGAAAGAAAGCGCAAATGTTTGCTGCTGACAGCGGCTGCAGGGCCGGCGCCGGGCCGAGCCGCAGGAGCAGGCCCCGCGCGCCGGGAACGCAGGCCCGAGGCTCCGGCGCTCTGAGCCCCGGCGCGCCAGGCCGGACGTGCCTGCTGACGGCCAGCACCCAGCCGGCCCTCTGCTTGGGCACGATTTCCAGGGCCCCCGGCGGGAGGGCGGGCTCGTGGCCGGCGCTTCGGTGGAGCCGGGAACGCGTGCGACCGGGCGTGAGCCTGAGCTGACGCGCGCCCCGTCCTGCCCGCTGCAGAGAAGGAGCGCGGCGGCGAAGCCAAGGGGCCCGCGGACGGCGGTGCGGGCGGCGCGGGCTGCGGCGGCGCGGAGGACCCGGCCAAAAAGAAGAAGCAGCGGCGGCAGCGCACGCACTTCACCAGCCAGCAGCTGCAGGAGCTAGAGGCCACGTTCCAGAGGAACCGCTACCCCGACATGAGCATGCGGGAGGAGATCGCCGTGTGGACCAACCTCACGGAGCCGCGCGTGCGGGTGAGGCGGGGAGCGCGCCGAGGGTGCCGGGCTGCACGGGCGCAGCACCGGAGAGCGCAGGCCCGCACCGGATGCGCACGCTCTCCGCTCCTGAGACCCCACCTTGGGCCCCGGGTCCACCGGCATCTGCCGGGCTCCAGGGCCGCTGGTGGCCCCTCACCACCCACCCCCGGGCTTTACGGCGGCCCCAGGAAGCCCGCCCATGCCCCGTAGGGCCCCGGCCCCGCTGGGATGTTGGGATACCCCGGGCCAGACACTGTGCAGAGGACTCCCTGCCGCTGGGGACCTTGGGAGCCGCTGGCTTCCCCCTTGGAAAACGAAAGGGAAAGGCAGGTCCTGCCTGGCTGCCTCTCGGAGGTTGAAGGAATGTTGCTAGGGTTCAGGGTCTCAAAACAGGGGTCCCATTCTGCACCCAACTTGTCCAACATCGGGATATTATCCTCCTTCCGGGCCGTTCAGCCAGTCCACCGCTGGAGCCTCTGGCCAGTGCCCTCCCGGGGTCAGGTGGCGGAGGCCGCTCTGCGGGCAAAGTAGCCCTCAGAGCCCTTTTGGGCTGGAAGGTGCCGTCCAAGGCCGCACTGTCTCCTCTCTTTTTACCCTTTGGGTTCCCAGTCAATGCCAGGCAGGCTTTCCTGCCGCGGCAGGAAGAGAATCCTTAGAATCATTTCTTCCTGGACGCACAAAGATTGAACCAGATCCCAGGAGCTGGGTTCTAGCCAGACCGGAGTCCCACCTGGCCCCCAGACACCGGGCCACCCCTCCCCTCCGCAGGCCGCGGTGACTCTACAAGTTTATGGAGGAAGAGCTGGGCTGGGACCAGGGAGAGCAGAGGCGCAGGGGTGCTGCAGGCTGGGGGTGGGGGGACTCTGCCCAGGGCTGGACAGGGGCCAGGAGGGCCCGGGCATTCGGTGGGCAGCTGGATGGGTGCGGACCTGGAGAACCGAGCACTGAGAGGTCCTTACCAAACTTCGCAGGAGAAAAGGGGGAGGAGGGATTAGGGCAAAACTGGTAAGAAGCAAAAGGAAATTAAATATTTGCAGAGAAACATATTTGGCATATATTTAGGCAGCAGGAAAGAAATTAAATATTTAAGGGCAAAGCATAAGGATCGAGTATTCAAGAAAAAGAAAGAATCAACTATTTAAGCGTAACACTGAGGGTCAGACATTTGGAAAGAAGGGGAAAAAACTAAATATTTGGAGAAGAATCAAAAGGATCAAAAATGGGGGTACAGCAGAAAATAGACCGTTTGAGTGCATAGAAGGGGGTTCAGATAGGGCGCAGACCGGAGGGAAATCAACATTTGGGAAACGAAAATATCAGAAATTGTCCTTCAAGATGGAAACAGACGGTGTGAGCGAGGAGACATCTAGGGGAGTCGGGGAGCCCTACGTTTCAGTAAGAAAACAACGCCGTTTGCGTTTGCAGGGGAAGAGAATGGATGGCGCATTCGAAGGCACCCAGGGACCCGTTTAGGGGAGAAGGCGGGAGGCGGACTGGCTGGGAGCAAGAGAAGGGTACCGAGTATTTGTTAAAAACAAAAACAAAACCCAGAATGCTCGTTAGGAGGAGAAAATGGACTTAATTCGGGAAAGAGGCTAAAGATCAGGGGGAAAAAAAGAAAAATTTAAAATAAAAAACAAAAACATGTTTTCTCGGGACAGGAAGGAGACCGTCAGGGCGAACAGGCAGGGTGGCGGGTGGAGGCGCGGGGCCCTGACCTGTCTCCCGCCCCTTCCCCAGGTCTGGTTCAAGAACCGGCGAGCCAAGTGGCGGAAGCGCGAGCGCAACCAGCAGCTGGACCTGTGCAAGGGCGGCTACGTGCCGCAGTTCAGCGGCCTGGTGCAGCCCTACGAGGACGTGTACGCCGCCGGCTACTCCTACAACAACTGGGCGGCCAAGAGCCTGGCGCCCGCTCCGCTCTCCACAAAGAGCTTCACGTTCTTCAACTCCATGAGCCCACTGTCGTCGCAGTCCATGTTCTCGGCCCCCAGCTCCATCTCCTCCATGACCATGCCGTCCAGCATGGGCCCCGGCGCCGTGCCCGGCATGCCCAACTCGGGCCTCAACAACATCAACAACCTCACGGGCTCCTCGCTCAACTCGGCCATGTCCCCTGGCGCCTGCCCCTACGGCACCCCCGCCTCGCCCTACAGCGTCTACCGGGACACGTGCAACTCGAGCCTGGCCAGCCTGCGGCTCAAGTCCAAGCAGCACTCGTCGTTCGGCTACGGCGGCCTGCAGGGCCCGGCCTCGGGCCTCAACGCGTGCCAGTACAACAGCTGACCGCCCGGCCGGCCACGCGGGGCGGGCCCGCGCAGGACGCACGCGGGGCCCCGGCCGCCGCCCGCGGACCCCGCACGAGCGCAGCCGCTCCCCACCTGCCCGCCTTCGGGCTGGTTTTGTGTTTGCTTTTCCGGACCCCACTCCGCCCTCCACAAAGAAACAAAAACGAACCAAAAAGACGTCGGAGAAAAGCGCCGCGGAAAAAAAAAAAAAAGAAAAAAATGGATGAGTTGCAATTTCCCTCGGGATGGCGCGGGTGGAGTGCGTTCGTTCACACGGGCCCCGGCGGCCCTCTCCGCGGAGGTAACGCGGCCCGGCAAGCGAACGCGGAGGCCCGGCGGCCAGGAGAGGACGCCCGCGTAGCCCGCGTCCCCGCCGCGCCGGACCCGGACTGAGCGGCTGCGCCCGCGCCCGCGGACTGGACGTGCGGAGCCCGGACACGCCTGAGATCCCCCGGCCGCGCACGAACCAGACGTCCTCTCCGAGCTGGCCGGGCCGAGCGCACCTTAGCTCGATTCGGATCCGAGTTGGAGGGGGCGTTGGGCCGGGGATGACGGTGCCCAGCCCGGGATCGCGCGCTCGCCGCTCAGCTGCTCGCACACGGCCTCGGCGCCCCGCGCGGAACCCTCGCCGGCTGCGCGCTCCGGAGCCGTGTTTTAAGGCCACCAAGCCGCGGCGGGAGGCGAGGGAGGGCTCGTTGCGGAGCGCCCCAGCCCCGAGCTCAGCCGCTGGCCCAGGCCCTCTGCCCCGCTCCCGTGCCTGGAGGTGCCCCCTGTCCCGGCGAACAGCCCCCTCCTCACCGCCCGCCGTGCAAGAGTGGAGCCGGAAGAGCGCGGGGCGCGGCCCCAGGGCCCCGCGCCCACTTTGCACACCCGCTCTCCGGCCCGCGCCCCTGTTTACAGCGCCCCTGTGTATGTCGGACTGACTATAGAATTATAAATCTGTCTATATCGACTTGTCCATGTACGTCTATTAAAACCATAGTCCGAGCGTGCTAAGCACTGCCGAGCCCTGACTGCTTCATTCGGCCGAGGAGGGAGGAAGTGCACAGAAAGGGCACGGGGCCGCCCCCACCCCAAGGGATGGAAATGCCGAGGCAGCCTCCTCTGGAGTCCCCCTACCCCAACTCCCCACCACCGTCCCCGACCTGCTCAGCCCCGGCCCCACCGAGGGCGCCTTGGGCCGCTCGGAGCTCGCTTTGCCCGGTGGGCACCGGCTGAGCCGCTCAGCCTCCCGGCTCTGCGCAGTGCCGCCCCGGCCAGGGCGCCTTCCCCGCCACCCCCAGGCCACGGCACCCTGCACAGGCTGTTGGCGGCGACCCTCAGGGTTCCCAGGGTGCTAGAGCCCTTGCTTGCTGGGAGCACTGGGGTGGGGGTGGGGGTGAGGGACACTGAGAGCCTCCTGAGGCGCGGGGTTGCTCTCTCCCGTGGGCGCGCGGCCCTGACAGCTGCGGGGGATATTGGGATATGCCTCTTCCCTTAATGTCCCAGCACGCCGAGATCCCACCCAGGGGCGTGGGACTGTGCCGGGGGAGAGTGTCCGTCACACAGGGCTCACTTCTCACTTCCCTTCCACCCCGGCTCATGGGGGCGGCTTCGGGCTGCCTCCACCCTCCCTTGGCTTTTGGAAACTACTGAAAAAGACCAGCCTGTAAACTGCCTGTAAAATTCTGCTTCCCTTAAGTAAGTCACTTCTAATGGCAAAACAAAATGTTTGCAGCTGCAGTGGGTAAGCAAGGAGGGGCTGGCGTCCTCCTTTAGGATCACCTTGTGATGCGGACTGGCACTGCCCTGAGCCAGCCCCGGGCGGGCGAGCCCTGGCTGGGAGGAGGGCACGGCCACAGGCTCAGTCAGGAGCTAATAGCTGCAGAGCCCTGTGCACACACTCTCCAGCCAGGGCAACACGGCCTCAGAGGTCAGGAGTGTCAGCCCCATTTTGCACAGGGAACTGGGGTCCCCGACTCTTGAACTGAGCCAAGGTCACACGGAGCCCAAGGACTGGAGACTGCAAAGCTCTTCTCACCCCTAGCTGAGGAATGAGGAGGGGTCCTCGCTGCAGGATGGCCCAGACTGTGGGGTTCTGACACGGACAGGGCCAGATACAGACTGGGGGGTGGGGGGAGGCTGGGCAGGGGGCTGGAGCCAGACCGCCCCTCCCCCCACCGGCTCCAGTCCAGAGCTCCGACCCCTCACTCTCTGGAAACATAAACACAATCACATCTGGACTCAGAGTGCCTCCCCCAGCCTCACACATCTGCCTGGGGGCCCTGGTCTCAGTCGAGGGCAGGAGGCTGGGGAGACCAAGAGGGAAGCGGAGCTGGAAGAGAGTGGGCAGCAGGGAGGCAGCCTCTCCCCAGGGGAAGCGCGGCCGGCCGAGGAGGGGGTTGTACAGTGGAGATGCAGTGTGGCTACAGACAAGTGGAGGGGCAGAAGCAGTCCACAGCAACCCCACCACCCGTCCAGGGCTGTGACCAAGCAGGTGAGTGCAGGATCCAGCCTGCTATCCCCGCCCCCAGCTGCCCCGCGGTTGGCATGCAACACCGCACCCAGGAGGGCTGCGTGGCTGCAGGGTTGGAGCTGGAGGATCCCGAGGGGCTGGGAGGGGGTGGATTCTGCAAGTCCTAGCTGCTGTGCCTGAAAGGGATTAGGGGAGGGGGCCGTTGTTCATTCATCAACAGGGACTCTGCTGCTGCGGGTGGGGCTGGGGATGGAGCAGGGGGGAGAGACCCAGTCCTGGTCCCAGCCGCCGCCGCTGTGGGCAAGGAAGCCAGCAGGCACGTAGGTCACTACAGACCAGAATGAGGACAGGCAATGGGGTGCTGTGCACAGAGGAAGAACAGGGGAGCCCTGCTTAACAAAGAGGGCGTTCAGGCATGGCGGCTCTGGGGAAGTGGCTCCGTCTTGTCTTCAGGGCAGGCACAAGCACTCACGGCACACCCCCACACTGGGAGCCCCCCCCCCCCGCGCCGTGCCTGCATGGCACCCATTGCTCTGACGAGGAGCCCGACACTCTGAGATGATGGCAGGGCACTGGCCCAAGGCCACACAGCAGGAAGTGATGGGGCCGATTCAAGCCCAGTCAGTGCCCACGCTCTGTCCCCTGCAACCGGGCTACCCCATACCCAGCACTGTGAACAAAACACAGGGTGGTTCCTGGCCTTGCAGAGATGGAAGTTCTCGCCCCAGACACAGCCAGCAGCTCTGTCCTTACCTGGTCCTGACAAAGAAAGCCTCAGAGGGGGCTGCAGCTGCAGAGAGGCCACAACTTGGGGACAGGGTGCGGGGAGGGCGGCGCCCAGGCACTGTGGGCACCAGAGGAAGTGGCACTCGGCTGAGTCGTCACCAAGGGAGAGGAACAGTCACTTTGGCTTGTGTGGCCCCCACTGGATGCCATACCGCTGTGCCCAGATGCCAGAGTTGTCCAGAAGGGAAGGGGAAGCCTCACCTGTGAGATGTGCTTTGGAGGGGGCACTGCCCCAGGGCGCCAGCCTGGGAGGTGCCTGTGTGCCCTGCCCTGCCCAGGTAAGATAGCAGCAGGGCCTGGGCCACCAGGATGCAGGTGTGGGACGTGAGCGAGGGAGGGGGTGCAGCCCATTGCCCTCCCGGGCTTCTGGGCCAGTGTCTTGGCCTGGGTACATGGGAACGGAGTTTGGGCTCCACCTCTGAGTCGCCTTGGGCAAGAGACTTAATCAGCATCTCTGAGCCTCTCCTCTTCCATAAAAGGAAATAACAATCATTTCGCACAGTTGCTGAAAGCGGGAGGCGAGACGCTGCACGCAGAGCCCGCGTGTGGTGGTCTGTGGAGTAAACACTTGGTGGTCACTGCGGAGGGCTCCTCACTATGCTTCTCCATATTATTAAGACGCAGTGTCCTGGCTGTCCTCTGGAGGGCCCTGTTCCACACTCTCCGCATTAAGAAGGCTTCTCGGTCCAAGTCACAACAGGCCGTTTCTGAAAACCAGCTTGCGCCCCCCGCCCCGCCCCCGTCCCATTTCTGTCTCCCATGTGAGTCATGACTGACAGTCCTGTCGAGCACCCCGTCGGGCCCTCAGTAACAGCCTGGGGTCCTGCGCGCCCTGTCTTCCTACTGTCCTTTGTGGGCCAAGCCTGAAGGAGCAGATCCAGAGACCAGCAGTCTGTAAGATGAGCCGTGGGGACAGCTCGGGGCTCCCTGCAGTGTGGGTGAAGATGCCAGGAGGCTTGCTGGCTCCCCATCACGTTAGGCGATGCTAACATAGGGCCCTGTGCACGCACTGACAGCCACAGCGTGTGTGCCAGGCAGCGACCCTGAACAGCGAGGCTTGCCCTCCTATGCGGCACAGGGGAAATTCAGAACTTGTCCAGGATGGCTCAGTTAACAAGGGTGGGGGGGACAGCACCTGACCTGGGGCCCAGGATCCTACTCCCTGCTCTAGGCAGGGCCTGCCATGAACAGGGCTCTATTTGAGGGGTAAAGAGGAAATGAAAACATCCTGTCACTCTAAGAGGCTGGGCTCAGCTGGGCCAGGCCGAGGGTGCAAGCAGCAGAGGGCATGGGGCCCCGGGGTGGTAGGCAGGGGTGCAGACAAGCTTTCAGGTGTAGAGGGGGTGCTGGAGTGCCAGCCATGACATCTAAACACCCACAGCTTTTCCTTCCCTGGGCTTGGGTTTTGCGGTCTCTGCCGCCCCAGAATCCTCCTGGGCCTCTCCCAGCCCTGCTGGCCCTCTCCTCATAGGAAGCCCACTCCTCACAACATGTGGGGCCCTACCAGGGCCCCAGATCTTGCCTTCCACTGACTGGGTGGCCCAGGGCAGCTGTTCAGTGGAGATGCTGCCACTGGAGCCCGCGGTGCTGCTTCTGGAGGAGGGGGAAGGGGAGGGCAGGGCGGCCGTCCTGGAGGAGCAAGACTGCTCTGGCCAACATGGGCACAGGTCTCCGTGATGTCCTGTGCTGTCGCTCCACACGCTTCGTTTCTCTTATCAGCTTCCTTTTATAGATGGGGACGGTGAGGTTCGGGGAGGCCATGTACCTGTCCAAAGGCACTCAGACCCCAGTCCGTCTGACCACAGAGCCCATGGACTCAACTACTGCCCCACTGCCTCCTGGAGGCTGCCCAGGCAGCTGGAGACAGGGTCAGAGGCCAGCACAGGGCCTGAGTCCAACAGGCGTGGACAGTGAGAGCTGGAACAGGGTCTGCACACAGTAGGTGCTCAATAAACACTTGCTGCATACACCTCAGTGCACCCATGAGACATCCTGCCCCTTCCCCTTCTCTCTCGCCTCCTTCCTTCCTCACTAGCTCAGCCCTCCGTGAGTAGCCCCTGGCACTGCTCTCGTCACTGCTTCTAAAAGTGAGTCTGAGCAATTTTTTAAAAAAAGAAGAGTTCAACTTAAAACTGGGCAAAGGAAAGGAATCGGCATGTCTCAAAAGAAGATAGTACAAATGGCCGACCAGCACGTGACAGGGTGCCCGACATCACTCATCATCAGACAAAGGCAGATCAAAACCACTACGAGATAGCACCTCACACCCATCGGGATGGCTATTTAAAAAAAAGAAAGAAAGAAACCAGGAAAGAACAAGCGATCGTGGATCGTGAGGATGTCGAGAAACTGAGTCTCGGTGCACTGCTGGGTAGGAACAAAAAATGGAGCAGCTGCCAGAGAAAATGGAACAGTTCCCCCGAAATCCACACACACAACGGCCACACAATGCAGCAGTCCCACTGCTGGGTGTGCACTTACGCGAGAGCAAGGACTTGGAGAGACTTGCGTTCACCTATGCTCACAGCACGAGCTGAATCTTGCTCATCACAGCAGCCACAATGTGCAGACACCACAAGGCTCCATCAACAAACGGTGGACAGAGGATGGACATACATACACTGGAGTATATTCAGCCTCAAAAAGGAGGGGGATTCTGACACAGGCCACAGTGTGGACAGACCCTGAGGACGTGGACTGAGATAAGCAGGACTCAACAGGCTGGATGTGACTGCAGCTCTGAGAGGGGCTGAAAAGAGGCAAGTTCAGGGTCCGATTGCAGAACCGTGGCCGAAGGAGGTGCTGCGGGGAGCTGTGTTTAAAGGCACAGAGTTTAGGTGAGAAAGATGAGAAAGTTCTAGAGATGGGTGGTACTGATGGATGTACAAAGAGCTAAATATGCTTTTTGTCACGGAAATACACACATCTTAAAAAGGCTAAAAGGGCAAATTACATATATCTTACCACTTTTTCAAAGTGGGATAGATGGGACTCGAACCAGCACTCTGACATGGGATGCAGGAACCTGGGTGGCAGCTTAGCCCACTGCACCACAACGCCTGCCCCTACCTTATCCAGGGGGCATGGAGAGGCTGGTGCCCAAGACTCCCGGGGCTGCGGCCACTACCAGAGCAGGTTCACTGCTCATTGGCAAGTCTTGTCCCTACAACCCTCGGCCCTCACAGAGTGGAGGGACCCCATCAGGGACAACTTCTTTACTGGATGTCTGCCTTTTCTTAATGGAACTTTCTGTCAAAAAACAAAACCATGACAAGCTACAAAGTGGTCTGTACACACAGTAACATCCTTGCTCCTAACAATGAACAGACATTTCTGAATGTGTACGAAGTATTAACATTAGCTACTTCAGGGAGCAAGGAAATGAGGTTTTTTAAGTTTGTCCTTTGCAGGTTTGGCTTTCCTTCCCCTTTTTCAGTGTTTTTTTGAGCGTATATTGCTTTTGTCATTAAACAATATTATTTTAAAAATGTAAACAGCTGTGATCCCCAGAACAGGGAGTAATCTGCCCCCAGCAGCCCTGTCCTGAGCCCCGGGCCTCAGCCATCGCGTACCAGGGATGCACCCACCCTGACCATCCTGCCTCCTCTAGGGCGAGCCAGCGTGACAGGTGTGGAGAAAGCCTTTACAGATTTTGACAGACACGAACCTTTCCTTTTCAAATACATTCCTCTTTGAACGGAAGTCAAGCCAATAAGATCGTCCAGAGAGGAGAGTAATTTGTCATGATCTTGGACTGCTAAGCGGAGAGAGCTCAGCGTCTGTAAAAGGGGCGCCCGGCCCTGCCCCCCGTTCCTTACTTCACCTCCTTCTCCCTGCCCTCCTGCTCCCCAGCTCCTGTACTCACCCACCTTGCCCTGGCACACATGCAGCACACACACACACACACACACACACACCATAGTGCACACACGCCCGTGCACACACATACACTCAGGCAAACACGCACTGCGTGCCTGCCAGCCAGCGTGATCATGGAATCTTTATTGAAGACGTCCAAATTACCAGGGTTTTACTACACTACTAAAAATAGTCACGCTTGCTTCGCCTCTTTAATAAGCACACCGTTTCTAATTTTTCTGCCTGAGTAAACCGGAGCATCGTTCCAGAAACACGTTTTCACTGAAACGAGGCTGGTGTTTTCTGCCTCGTGTACCCCTGGCTCTCCGCCTTCCCCCCACCCTCCGCCAGTGTCCCCCTCGTCCCCCTCGGCGCCCAGGCCCCACCCTCCGGCACGTTCCATACACAAAGGGGAACGCAACAGTAATTTGGACTTGGCTTTCACACAAAATGGACCAATTTTTTTTAAGTGTTGGTAATTTGTCCTGAAAGTGGATCTAGGGAGTTGGGCAGGAGCGGCTTTGAAGAACGGGGTTTATGAGTGGAAAATGGGGCCTGGGCGTGTGGAATGCGCACGCCGCCCCTCCGTGCCTGGACAGTGCCGCACGTGTGATAATCACCGCTGAGAGCGCCATCATTGCCATTATCACATTATATCATTAGTGCTCATCAACATCAGACAAAGCTTATTAACCCAGTTCACTGCGCAGAGGGTTTAACGTCCCAGTGACTTCACGGAAAATGCTTGGCAACCCCTCCAAGGCACCGCGGCTACAGAGTGCTGGCCACGCCGTCGCCTGCCAGGCCGTGGCAGCCGGCAAGGGTTTCCCCGGAGCGTTCCCGCCTGTGGCCTAGCTGGGCACTTTCCAGGACACACTGGGATGGAGGCTTGTCCCCACCCGGGCTCCAGCCTCTCCAGGCACAACTTCTATGGGTGCACACCCTCAGCCCAGGAAAGGCGACTGAAGGAGGAGCTCATGCGCAGTGGGGCTGGGGACCCCCGGAGACACCCTGGCCAGGGGCTGGCATTGAGCTGGGTGTCACCACTGACCCTCCCACAGGCTGGCAGGGGGCAGCTGAGATCCACCCAGGCCCCCGGGTTCCCAGAGACTCCCCTAGTCCCCCATGCCAGGGAAACGGCTGAGCCAAGGCTGGTGCAGGGGCCAAGAGAGCTGGATTGCAGCCCTGGGCTGGGCTCCTCCCCAGGACCTGACCTTTCCTCCCAGAGTCCAGGCCTCCCTGGGTGAGTCAGCCTGGCCTGCGCCCACGGGTTTCTGGGGCCGGTGCTGGGGTTCCAGGAGCGCTACGTGACCAGCACACATGGCCCTCAAGAGGCACAAACTCCGTGCTCATCTCAACCTCCTGCCCTCTGGGAGCATCTCCGAGTCTCGGAGGGTCCCTGTGGCCAGCCTCCTGCCCCTCCACACTCCCCCACACCTCCGGGAAGCACCTGCACTCCCAGACACTCACGGGTCAGGAGCTACCACTTGGGTGAGATGCAGTCCCCGCGCTCTGAAGTCACGGAGTCCTGGGCTCCCACCAGCCACCTCCAGGGCGCTGAGGACCACGGACGAGATCACACAGGTTACAAGCACGAGCTTCCGACAGAACCTGACTCCACTCCTGGTGTCACTTCTTACTCGCTGCCACATAAGCTCTGAGCCTCAGCTTCCTCACCTGTAACGTGGGGAAAACAGGGACCAGGGCTGTGGCACAGTGGGGTAAGCCACACGGTGCCGTACCAGCATCCCATCTAGGCGCTGAATGGAGAGCTGGCTGCTCCACTTCCGACCCAGCTCCCTGCTAATGCACCTGGGAAAGCAGCAGCAGATGGCCCAAGTCCTTGTGCCCCTGCACCCACGTGGGAGCTCCTGGTGAAGCTCCTGGCTCCTGGCTGTGGATCGGCCCAGCTCCAGTCACTGGAGCCGTTTGGGGAGTGAATCAGCAGATGGAAGACCCCCCCCCCCATCTAGCTCTCTGTCCCTCTAACTCTGCGTTTAATAAATGAATAAATAAGGGGAACATGTGAAACGTTGCATGAGCCTGCTGCACTGAAGCCCAGGGGAGTGACATCGTAGCTGCACCGCTGTGTGCCCAGGAGTCTGGGATGTGCCTGCGACACTGGGTCCTCCTGCTGCTCACCACCTCCTTCCCTCCAGAGCATCAGAACCGGCTCATCTCAGGCAGCGGGGTCACTGGCATCCAGGCATTAGGCTGGGCACACAGTCCACGGCCTCGCCACCTGGAATCACGGGTGTCCACAGCGGAGAATGAGGGTCTGACTCCAGGTGGCGTCTGAAAGGTCCGAGGTGGGAGGGGGGAACGAGAAGCCAAAGCTGACAGGAGCAATCTGGAGCAACTGCTGTGGAAGAGACCTGGTCCCCAGCCCGGAAGGGCAGGCAGGAGTGGGATGGGTGGGCAGGAGCAGAGGGGAGACAGAGCCAGGCAGTGGGGAACCCTGGGAGATGTGGGGAGACAAAGCAAAGGAGCTTTAGGAGCCGGGGGAGGGGACAGAGCCACCCTTAGGAAGGCAGTGGCAATCAGCTCTGGCCAAGTCACTAGCTGCTGACAGTCCACACTGCCCAACTCACTCAAGCCCTTGGGACGCTGCTCCAGTCTACTTCCCCACCCTGCAGCCCCCCACAGCCCTGCTTAGAATACACACACACACACACATCAGTACATGTGCAACACATTGGTACACGTGCACACACACACAGGTGCACACATTGGTACATGTGCACACACATTGGTACATGTGTATACACACCCAAGTGCATGCTCACACACACACTGGTACATGTACACACACACACATACAAGTGCACACTCACAAGTTTGCACACACACTGGTACACGTGCACAAACACAAGTGCACACACATACACCAGTACATATGCACACACAGGTACACATGTGCACACACACAAGTGCATGCACATATACAGGTACACGTGCACACACATACAAGTGCACAGACACAAACACACACAGGTTGCTTAACTTTTTTTCAAGGTGAAAACTGTGTTGCTTTTCCTGATAATAAGATATGTATTTGTACTAAAAATTGAAATAATTCAGGAAGGTGGGAGAACAGAACAGAGGTGAAGACCACTTGCACCATTACTGTTGACGATTCCCTTCCAGACACGAACGTACACTAGACAGGGGCACCTCAGAAAGTTCCAGAAAGGGAATTACAAGAGACAGGGGCAGGCGCTGTGATGCAGGTCGCACGGAGGCTTGCAGCCTGCACTGGGTACTGCAGCGCCGGCTCCAGTCCCAGCTTCCTAGGAGGCAGCACGGGACGGCCCCTGCCACCCACGTGGAAGACGCAGACGCAGTTCCAGCTCAGCCCTGACTGCTGTTGGCATCTGGAGAAGAAACCCACAGTTGGAAGATGGCTCTCCGTCTGTCCCCCTCGCTAGAGGTCAAGGACGCCTCTCCTGCATACGCAGGTCACTGCCTGGTTCTATCATCTTTGATGTCTGAGAGAGGAGAAACAGCCCCTACCACTTCATAGGTGTGGCCTTACTTCTCCATTCTTTTGGATACAGATGTTGTCACACCTGTACAGCCCTGAAGTTGCCTTTTCCCATCTAATCCTTCTCTGCTTCTTTCAAGTGCCAGATAAAAAAAACACCATCACAGCCGCAAGGCTCCCCAGGGGCCCCCTCCTGGTGTCCTTAGCCCCGGGCCCCACAGGTGAGTTATCCACAGCTGTAGGAGCAGGAAGGGGACCACAAAAGACTGACCAGCTACCACCAAGAGGCCAGCCTCCGGGACCCCTGCGTGGCCCTGGCGGGGCTGGGCGTCCTGCTGGGGAGCCCGCTCACGCCGGCCGGGCAGCTCCCGTCTGCGGCCGAGCCTCCACGTGGGCCGGTTGTACCGGAGCCCAGGCGGCGGCGACGTCCAAGCCAAACCGCGCTCTCTGCCCAGGCTGTAATTTCCTGATTAGGCGCCGCAGTCACCACCCTTTCTGCACACACTGATTGCTTCCTGCCGTCCTCTCAATCTCGGGGGCTCCCAGGGCTCCCCGGGCCAGCAGACTTCAGAGCTCTGACCAGGCAGGGAGAAGGTGCCAAGAAACTGGGCAACCAAGGCCTCCTCCCACAGCCAGGCCCTGCTCAGGAGGGAATCGTGGCTGGGTTTCTAAAGTTCAAGAAACAGCTTTAACAAGAACGAGCAAGGCTGCTGTGAGCCAGGAAGCACAGGGGTACGTGTGTGGCCTGTGTTCAAACGCCGACGCCGCCCTTCGCGAGGAGCGCAGCCAAGCAGGGCTCTCCGAGGGCCAGCCTGCCCACCTACCAAACCAGTCACAGCACCTCAGAGGGCTGGGAGTCCATGGGCAGTCATGTCACCTCTGAACCTCAGTGTGGCCACCTGGCTAACAGGAAGGACAGCAATACCTACGCACGGCTGTCATGCCATTGCAGACGTACACGCGAAAGGATCTTTCAATGGGACACAGGCAAAGTAGCAACTGTAGTTCCACCATCGCCAAGGCCTGCCCTTGGCCAGGAAGCCTCCTCCTCCAGCCCAGCGGCCCGTTCCAAAGACATCTCTTTATCTTGGGCCCTGGTCCCAGGCACCACCATCGCAGTGGGGAGGCAGGAAGGGAGTCTGGGCAGCGGGCCTCACGGACGCAGAATTGCGGGCCAGGAACGCCATGGCGCTACCACCCCAGTGTGCACGCCTCCAGGTCCGTCCTGTCTCCCGAGAGCGTTAGAGCAGACTCTTCACGCCCCAGGGGTCTCCTGCACACCTCCCTTGTGAGACTTTTATAAAAAGTCAGTAGCGCTTGGTGCCACCACGCTCTGGGGTGCTTCACCCAGAGGCCCTGAAGCCCTCTTATGGGGTCCTGCCTTAGCCCGAGACATCTTGTCTCTACAGGGTGGGTCTTTAAAAGACTTAAGTATTTATTTATTTATTTGAGTGGCAGAGAAAGAGGGACACACACACATACACACAGAGACAGACACAGAGAGAGATCTTTCATCTGCTGACTCTTCCCCCAAATGCCCTCAACAGTCAGGTCTGGCCCAGGCCAAAGCCAAGAGCTCCAGCCAGCGACCCTCATGGGTGGCAGGGGCCCAAGTTGGACCATGATCCACCACTTTCCCAGGAGCAATCAGGGAGACAGGTCAGAAGCAGAACAGCAAGACCCAGTCTGGTGCTCTGACATGGGATGCTGGTGTCGGCCGTGGTGGCGTTCCTTGCTGCACCACAACGCCGGCCCCTACAGGGGTATTTTTTGTGTAACCTGAATAAAATCCTGCCTCCACGTGTTGCTAAGTATCCATGGGGCTCCACTCTTAAAAGGTACAATACAGCAACTCAGAGTCATCTTTCAGGAAGTCCAACCATGACTTGCCTATGCTGGCGAGCACGTGTGGGGATCCGACTCCTGACTCACTGGACCCCCCCCCCCAGGTGTCCACGCTGGCTGCGTCACAGCCGCTGCCCAAAAGCCCCGGATGCCCAGCCCCCAGCGTTCACTTCCTGGCCGCTTCTTTGCCCCAACTCCCATGCGCACTGCTGCGTGCAGGGCTCTGTTTTGCCCAGCGCCTTGCCCCTCCACGGAGGAGGAGCACCAGGAGTCGGCCGGGACGTGAGAACACGGCCACTCCCCACCAGAGCCCACGACACGACCCAAGCCAAGATGCGACTCTGGGTAGGGAGGTGGGGGACACTTTACCCCATCTGTCTCCTGCCCTTCACTTCCCGACCTCCAAGAATCAGATCAGCAATGGCCTCTCCCAAGGAGCCTGGCTGGGGACTCCCTGCAGGGGCTGTGGGACACAGGAGCAGCCCTAATGGGGCGCCAGGACAGCCAGGACAGGGCCAGGGGCACACGGCCCGAGGGCAGAGCTGACCTGTGGAAGGCCCCTCTGCCTTGGGAGGCAGCAAGGTGCAGTTTCCAACATCCTGGTGTCGGATTTCCAGGGGCTGCCGGAATAAACCACTGCCTTCCCCGCCACTCTACAGGGACTGCTTCCTGCTGATGGAATCCACAGTTTAAAAAACAAAGTCACCTTCCAACACCCCCTGCACTGGATCCTTCCCACAGGAGCTGCGAGTGACCCAGGTGCCCTGCATCCCACTGCAGCCCCCAAACAACGACGCTGGTGGGCTGGCGACGAACAGCCCAGTGAGTAGAGCCGTGTGGAGTCCCAGCACTGGGACGTCGGGTGGAGGGTCCTGCTTTCCACAGCCAGGCCTGGGCAGGCAGAGCCACTTCTGCCCCCAGCAAATCAACTGCAAGTCTTGGCCAAGCCTGTTTGAGTTGGTGAAGGCCCAAGTGGGAATTCCAGTCCGCCAGTGTTTGCTCTGCAGGCACACAGAGCCAAACACAAATGCTGCTTTGGGCCCCGGCGCCAAACATCCTTCGGCTTGTGCCGCCCGCAGCGCTGGGCCAGCCCCATGCACATCACCCCGCCCCCCCCCCCCCCGGGCTCAAAGCCTTCTTGTGCCCTGCAAGGTGGCTTGCCCAGCCTTGTGGCACCCCTGTGGCCTGGGATGCAGGCCTGCCGGGTTGGACACGCCATCTGCCCACCATAACCAGCCCCACTGGGAGCCAGGTCCCCACCACCCTGTCCTCCCTGCCCCCTCGCCGATGGCCCAGTCGTTCTCAGGCCCTGGACAGCACAGCTGCCAGACGTGTCCTCTGGCCAGGGCGAGCCTTGAGTTCCCGTCTCCCCAGTCCCAGGTCTGCTACGTGCCGGGGGGAGTCGGACCTCAGGGCCACCTACCCAGGCCCAGGTCCCGAGGACGGGGAAGCAGCACTGTCGCAGCAACTCCGGAGAGGCCGACTTGGAAGCTGTGTTTAATGGGGCTCAGCACAGCCTGCGAGGCCCTCCGAGCCGGGGCCCGCGCCAGCTACTTATCATGGGACTTCTGCGAGGACTGCGACTTCGGGGGCAGGTCTTCGAGCATCAGGCTCAGCACATGTGCGATCTCATAGTACAGCCCTTGAAGCCTGAAGTGGAGCAGGAGAGGGCGCCTGAGGTCAGGGCAGGCTCGGGGCCACCCTGGCCCCATCCACCACACCCCTGCACCGGCACCTGCACCACACCCGGCCCATGTGGGGCTGGGGGAGGGCCAGGTCTGCTGAGGGCCAGGTCAGGCTGGGCTGGAATCCCGAGTTTGCCCCTTGGTGTGAGTTCTGTCACCTCATGGCCCTGAGAAGGGTATGACATGGAGGCACCAGTCAGCACTTGGCCCACTTCTGAGCCCAAATGGGCCTTGCGTGAGCCCTCCTTTTTAGCTTTGCTGGTCTCTGAAACCCCCAGGGGCTTTTCAGCGAGAACTGGGTTCATCGTGCCTGTCCTTGCTTGAGAGCCCACTGTGACTCCCTAGTGCCCGCGGCTCTCTGTTAGATGCTCAGTAGTGGCAGGTCACCGCCCCAGAACTGGGCCAGCCTGAGCACAGGGCTTTACATGCATGTTTTTTTTTTTTTTAAGATTTATTCATTTAAAAGAGGGAAAGACAGAGGGAGAAATCTTCAATCCGCTGGTTCACTCCCCAAATGGCCACAACAGCCAGTGCTGGGCCAGGCCAAAGCCAGAAGCCAGAAGCTTCTTCCAGGTCTCCCACATGGGTAGCAGGGGCCCAAACACTTGGGCCATCTTCTGCTGCTTTTCCCAGGTCATCAGCAGGGAGCTGGATCAGAAGTGGAGCAACTGGGACTTGAAACAGCACCCATATGGGATGCTGGTTACAGGCAGTAGCTCTACCTGCTACGCCACAATGCCAGCCCCTCTTTTTTTTTTTTTATTTATTTATTTGTTTGCAATGCAGAGGTGAGAGAGACATAGAGATAGAGATAGAGGCCAGCGCCGCGGCTCACTAGGCTAATCCTCTGCCTTGCGGCGCCGGCACACCAGGTTCTAGTCCTGGTCGGGGCGCCGGATTCTGTCCCGGTTGCCCCTCTTCCAGGCCAGCTCTCTGCTGTGGCCAGGGAGTGCAGTGGAGGATGGCCCAAGTCCTTGGGCCCTGCACCCCATGGGAGACCAGGAGAAGTACCTGGCTCCTGCCATCGGATCAGCGCAGTGCGCCAGCCACAGCGCACCGGCCGCACCGGCCATTGGAGGGTGAACCAATGGTAAAGGAAGACCTGTCTCTCTCTCTCTCTCTTTTTTAATTGTCCACCCCTGCCGAAAAAAAAAAAAAAAAAAAAAAAAAAAAGAGAGAGAGAGAGAGAGAGAGAGAGAGACAGAGAGAATGAACATGGAAGAATGCTACCATATGCTGGTTAACTCCCCAAATGGGTGCAGTGGCCTGGGCCGCTCTAGGAGAAGGGCAGAGCCTGGAGGTCCATCCTGGTCTCCCTGTGTGGGTGGCAGAGACTCAGGTAGTGGCCCATCTCCCACTGCTTTCCCAGTTGCATAGCAGGGTCAGAAGCAGAGCAGCTGCCACACAGGACACCAGAGCCACGAGCGGCAGGTGGACTTGCTGTGCCGCAACACCGACCCTGCATGTTCTCACCAGATCAGCCAGCAGCACCCTGTGTGACAGGCAGGAAAAGGGGAGGGACCTGCCTGAGGCCACACAGGAAGCACCAGCAGACCCAAGACAGGAGCCTCAGCTCCCGACTTGCACCCAGTGTTCTTTCCTCTCCCCGGAAAAGCAGTAAGGAGCAGCCTGGAGAGCCAAGCAGCTGGCATCCGGGTCAGAGTGGCGGGGGCAGGCTGGGGGCGCAGCTCCCTCAGCCACAGGCCGGGGGCATGGGTGCAGCCCTGTGCCCCCAAGGAGGCCTGCTCCACCGGCCCACCCTGCACGCCAGCCTCCATCCCCCTCGTCCTCCTGGGGCATTGCGGCAGGGACTGACTTGGTGACCGTGGCGTCCTGGTTGTCCAGAGTGGACAGGTAGATGTCAATGAAGGGCAGGCTCGTGCCGAAGTCATCCAAGACCATGGGGTCCGTGTGCCGCAAGGTTTTCTTGAAGTTCTCCACCAGCTCGCTGAAGCTCTTGTAGTCGACGCTTTTCTGGAGAGAGACGTGGACAAGAAGGCCATGGTGAGCAGGAGGGACCCCCCCCCCGCCAGTGAGTGTGGATGAGCTGGGGGTCAAGAGTGCAAAGTGGAAGACGTGGCACCTGAGCCCCCACTTCTGACATGAGGATGGGGGGCACGCGAAGGAACCTGTGAGAGGCTGAGCACGGCTCAGCGTCACCTGCTGCAGCCCTGGACAAATCCTGGGCACAGTCGTGACAGGCAAATGACCCACCTCAGAGAAGAGCCTGAGGAGGGACGTGGGGACACAGCACAGCACCCCGGCTCAGCCATGGGCACTCAGGGCACCAACACAGAAAACAGAGGCCCTCCAGCCCTCAGCCCCGGGTCAGAAAATGCCCTTGCAGTGGTCTCAGAAACACGGGAAGGCCCAGCACATGCGCTCACACCCTTATCCTCCATGGCCTGGGCCGCCTGGCACCCAGACACTTCAGCAGGGACAGTCCCGCCACACAAGACCTGGTTCTGCTCAGGGCGCATGCTGCAGCCACAGACCTCTACACCCCCAAGGCAGTAGAACGAAGACAAGCCACCTGCCTCACCTAAGGCCATCTGCTCTCTGGAGCCAGGCCCCACCCCCGGCCACTCCTTCCTCCCTGCCCGTGCTCCTCTGTCCGCCTGCACATGGCCGGCCGGCACCCACCTGCTTCCGCATCAGCCTGCTGACCTCCTCCTGCTGCCGCTTCAGGATCACCTGCTTCTCTTCCATGAGGGTCACGTGCCGCTCCAACATCAGCTCTCGCTCAAACTTCTTGATGGAGTCCTGGAGTCAGAAGACAGAGGCTGGGGCAAGCTTTCACCCACCAGCCCCAGGCGCTTCCTTCCCAGCCTGCTCACCCTCTCTCCCAGCCCCCAGCACACACAGGGCTCAAGCTGCCCATGCAAGGCAGGGGCAGTGCCTCCCTGGTCCCCCTGTGCTGTTGGCCACTACCGTGAGGCAAGGCAAACGCACTGGCTCGGTGGCAAGAGTCAGGCTGGGCAAGGGAAGGACCCACCTCCCCACCTCCACTCCCGCTCAGCAGGGACACACGCTTGGGACTCTCCCCAGAGACCTGGCCCACACCAAACCTGACTCGGCATGCCTGCAGGTGCAGCTCACCTCAGTGTGCATGATCATCACACCCACAAACATGCTGAGGAAGATGAAGGAGGCGATCAAGATGAAGGTGATGGTGAACGCCCGACTCAGAACAAAATTCCGGTTGTCCAGCTGCTGCTGCAGGTTTGTCCAGCCATCAACCTGCTCGGGCAGGGAGGGTTCAGTGTTACGGTCGGCAGGGTGGGTGGGCCTCCCCGGGTGGGTGGGCCTCCCCAGCTCAGCTAAGGGAGCTCCAGCCCCAGTGTACTTCCTGGCCCTGTCCCTCAACACTTGAAGTTCTCCACAACCTGGCTCCAGTCTATCCGCGGTGGCCCAGGGACGCAGGGCTCGTTGCGTGTGGACACTGCTGGTCAGCACGCCAGGCCCACCTCTGCAGAGCACACACGCTTTTGGGAGTCCAACAGGGTCCAGGATGGGCTGTGCGTCCTCGCTCCAGGTAGGTTTGTGCCTGCCCCTTCCCAGAAGGCCAAGGGGTGTGCGTTCACTTGTAAAATAATCTTAATCCAAGTGAACCGGCATTTGCGAGCTTTTTCTAAAATGTTGTGTGACCCTGTGGGACACCCAGAATCTCTCTAAGGACTCGAGAGTCTACAGGCAGAGCTGGACCCCCGTCTAGGACTGCCCCCAGCTTCCCCAGGCCCACCTGCGCTCCAGAACACGGGGAGGCCCCGTGCAAGACCCAGTATGTCCACATACTCCCGTCACCTCCGTGGTCCCTTCTCAAAACCCAGCCCTCGTCCCGCTCCAGAACACAGTACCGTGGCCAAGCTGAAGAGAGTGAAGAAAGCCACAGCCAGGTTCCCCCAGTTATTCAGGTCGCCTTTCTCCGAAGCACCAAACAGGCAGAAGCCCAGGATGGCGAAGATGTACATGAGGACGAAGAACAGGGTGAGCACGGAGGCCACGGTGTACACGGTCTGCCCCACGGCCGTGATGAGGGTCTGCAGGGCAGGGGCACACGGCTCAGGCGAGGGTGCCCCGCTCACAGCCAGCCCCCGCCACCCGTGCTCGGGAAGTGTCAGGACAACGAATCAAGTGAATAGGAGCTGTGCCCAGGCTAAGGGCTGGATCAATCTAGCTGGGCGTTACGGGTGTCTGATACACACCTGCTTCTCAGCCAAGAGCCAACCCTGGCCCTCTCAGCCTCAGGCCACCCTAGGAGTGAGGATGGAGCAGCCCAGAGCAACACAGCTCCCCATCCCTTCCTGAGTCTTCTCCCTGTAGAGCGGGCGTGTCTTATCTCCCTACTACAGCACCCACTCCTGCAGAGCACAGCGTGCAGCCAGCTTGCCCCCCTCCCTTGTACGTGTGCAGACTTCATTTCATGAGGGCCGCGGCCAGGGTCCCATTCCTGGACACTGCAGAGCTGTGCCCACTCCCAAGCCCTCCGCTCCAGGCCACCACCCCCAACCACTAGTAGCCCAAGCACCAGGAAAGGAGGCATCGAGAGCAGGTCACCTGCTGCCCCGACTGCTATGGCAGCTGCCTGCAGGGGGCAGTGGGTCAATGCCGCCCTCCTCCCCAGAGAAGCAAACCTGTGTTTGGGGACAGAGCACAAGAGCTGAGAGATGAAAGAACTGCCTCCCTCCCTACTACACGCACAATGTCCTTCCCGAGAGCCAGTGAGACAAAACCCTCCAAGTCCACTGTGGATTGGGCTCAGAGGCCGGGAGGAGGAGCCTGGGGGGGAGAAGAGTCTGATGCACTTGCGGAGAGTGGGGAGGGGTCCCGCTGGGTCTCGCACCTCCGGGTCAGCCCAAGGGCCAGCACCAGCAACAGCTTGGCTCAGTCAGAGGGAAGCAACTTAGAGAGTGCTCCCCCCCCCCCAAGAGCTGGTCTTGGCCATGGTTCTTCAATGCACAAGCCCTCAGTGCACAGCACAGGAAGAGACGGGGGGTGGGGAGTCCAGGCCCCTGGGGGCAGATGCCGGGACCCCCAGAGGCTGGCAGCTCCTTCCCTAGAGTCCGGGGCTCCAGAGGCCCCCAGCCCTACCAGGTCTCCAGGGGACATTTCATTTTGCCTTCTCAAATTCTTTGGAGACGCAATTCCTAGAGCCCAGTTCAGCCTTCCAGGACTCTGGGTCAAGCCACACTGTCCTCCTGGCTTGAGACATCGTGGGTGTGGAAAAGGCTGGCAGAAAGGGCAGCCCCGGGCGCAGGCTCAGGGCGGGGAATGATTCGGCCTGAGGAAGAGGAGCCCATGCTCATGCAGCCCAGCCTCTGAGGGCCGCATGCACACTGAAAAGCAGAGTGATGGGGCCATGTGGCCCGGGGGAGCCCAACAAACAGAGCTGCTCTGTGTGCAAGACAGGGACTCCCGCCTTGTGATGCAGGTTCACTGGTGCCGTGTGAACTGGACTTCCTTGTAATTAAGCAGGGCCAGAGACCCCATCTGGGCACCAGGACTGCCACTTCTTCAAGGGCTTTTTCTGGACTTCAGGTGGGGCTGTCGCCTGCAGCACCAGCATCCCAAAAGGACACTGGTCTGGGTTCAAGTCCCGGCTGCTCCATTTCCAATCCAGCTCCCTGCTGATGCACCTGGGAAATCAGCAGATGATCCAAGTGCTTGGGCCCCTTCACCCACATGGGAGACCCAGAAGAAGCTCCTGGTTTCAGTCTGGCCCGTCCTGATCATTGCAGCTATTTGGTGAGTGAACCAGTGGATGAAACATCTAACTGTGCCTTTCAAATAAATACCATAAATATAAAAAAATAAATAAAAAGACAAACAGGCATAGATGTGCAGTTCTGGCCCTCGGCAGCTCCAGCTCCCCAGCCAGCCGGCCACAGGGGCCGTGTCACCCCAGGTCATTACTATGATATCCCCAAGGCCACCACACAGCCACAGCCTGCCTGGCTGGTGACCCCCAGGGCCTGTGTGGGATACAGGCTCAGCTTAATACAGAAAAACCCTGGGCCCAACAGGAGGCATCTGTATTCACAAGGACGTAGGTGGCGCGGACCTGCCCGGCCCGTGGCCCCAGGCACATTCAGGCCTTGGCCTTCTGGCCCAGCCCCACAGGTGCCGCTGTCTCCCTGCCTTTCTGTTCGCTGCTCCTTGCACCGCCAGAGCATCTGTTCCTGCAGCCCAACGCCCATCACCCCCTTCTGCACATGACTCCCGCGTGTCTCTGCACCCTCATTTTCAGGGCAGCCTCTCTCCTGTCCTCAGCCAAAGAGCCACTCTTAGCCAAGGACCGCACTCCCAGCAGCTCTCTCCCAGGGGGCTGCCTGCCCCCTGCTGGCCTCAGGTTCAGGGGCCACCCTGTGCCTTCTGGGAGCCCCTGCCTCCACAGGCAGAGCCTCTGCTCTGGGCGGGGTCGGCCTCTCGGCTACCCACACCCTCACGTCATGACACCTCTGCCTCTAGCTGCACCTGCTCCTTCTCTATGCCACCCTGCTCGCAGCCTGGGGGCTGGCACCATCTTCATGGGCCACCTACCATCCCGAGCAACCAGTGACAGGGACCGCAAGGGAAGTGGCCGCTGGGCCAGGTGACAGAGGACAAGAAACCAGGGCATCAGTGGCAGGCCAGGGAGTGGGGCCCAGAAACAGAGACCCCTTTCTCCACAAGCCTGGCCATGAAGGGTGGGGAGGGGACGCACGAAGGCACGCAGCCCCTGAGGGCCACCAATGAGTGCGTGTGGGTGTGGTGCAGGCAGCCGACAGTTCGCCTCCCTTCTCCAGGGCTGGGGCCATCACTCGGCAGGCTGGGCGGGCACCTGCTCCGAGGCCCAAACGCCCCTTGCTGGAGAAGCACAGATGGTGGGGGCAGAGCCAGGGCAGGCACACTGTGCCCAGCATGACCACCTGAGGGCCTGGCATGGGCAGGGGTCAGTCCTGAGGCTCATTCCGAAGCCTTCTGACTCAAGGGGAGACTCCATGACTTCAGCAACCCAGGAAGACGGCTTGGTGGAGCTGCACTTCCAGGGCTGCCTCAACAAAGTAAGGAGACTGTTCCCACCGAGCAAAGCGGCAGAATCGCAAATGTGTGGGCCAGCAGCTGGAGAGAGGCACAGGCCACCGGAAGCCGGAGCCTGGGGCATGCACAGCAAAGGGACCACAACACGCAGCACGGGACGGGGAAGGCCCGATGCCGCTGGGGCCGGGCACACTCTTCCAGCTCAGCTCTGCCACTTAACGGCTGCGTGACCTCAGGCCTCTGTTTCCTCTGCACGATGGAGCTAGTAATTCCTTTCTTACAACTGCTTTAAGATCAAATGCAATGGTACCGGCAAGAGCAGCCTGCCACTCCGCAGGACTCATTAGCTGGAAGACAGCAGGAGCACTGTAGCTCCCCGCTCCCCGGGGGCTGCTGGGCAGATGGGCCCCCTCCCCGGGCTCCTCACACCGGGGAGACACTCACCCGGATGCCCCGGCTGTAGGTGATGAACTTGAGGATGCGCAGCGACTGGATGCCATCGGCGATGTTGAAGTAGGGGTAGTGCTTGTCCTTGATCTTTCGGAGGAAGTGGGGGATGACGATAATGATGATAATGACCACATCCAGCAGGTTGTAGCCGTCCTTCCAGTAGTCGATGGGGTCCACATAGACCTTCATGGAGAACTCGGAGGCATAGATGGACACAAAGATGACCTCTGAGATCTGCAGAGTGGCAAGGCTCGGAGGATCAGCAAGCTGCAAGGCCCATGGCCCTCTTCCTGCCTGGGCCACCCAATCAGAGAGGGTGCACCTAAGTCCCCCACGTGGGCAAGAACCCGGGCGGCCACTCAGTGTACCTGTCTCTGTTCCCTTTCCCACAGCCCTATGCCTGGGGCTAGGTCTGACCCAGGGTGCTTGGGGAAACTGACGGATGGACAGAATGACTGCATTGGTCCCATTCAGTGCATGGCAACTCAACGCATCAGCAACCTGAACTCAAGGTTTCCCAAGAGAAGGTCCCAAGAGCTTGCTGCCCACCCAAATATACAAACTTATAGGAATACTCGAGACTGTTCAAATACCAGCTTACATCTATTAACTTAATCATATGTACTTAAAATCAGTTAACTAAGTCATTTCTCTCTGAACCAATCTTTTCAATCTTTTTCAAATTCTTCCCATACATCTGTAACACCAATGGCTTTGTTCTGCCAAAAAGCACCTTTATTTAAAAAAAAATTTTTTTTTTGAGGCAGAGAGGGAGGTAGAGAGACTGAGAGAGACAGAGAGCTCCCAGCCACTGGCTCACTTCTTAGATACTTACAACAGCCAGAGGTGAGCTAGGGCTGAAGCCAGAAACCAGGAACCGAAACCAGGTCTCCCACACAGGCGGCAGGTACACAGTCCCTGAGCCATCGCTGCAGGCTTCCAGGGTTTGCATTAGCAGGAGGTGGGACAGTAGCTGGTGCCAGGACTGAAATGCAGGCACTCTGACGTGCAACGAGGTGTGTTAACCACTAGGCCAGACCCCTGAAGGGGTACTTTTTGAGTCATCCACTTCCTTGTCATCTAGTTTGATGCATTGGTCTGTGTATCATCCAAATCAATTAATGCATTCATAGTAAAAGCTCTGATTTGAACACCTTTCCTGTGCAATGTTTCAGGCTCTGGGAAACAAGCAGTAAGACAGAATGCCCAGCCCGCAGGAAGCTTACCATCTACTGAGGGGCAGAAAGAAAGGCTTAACAAACACATACGGATTCTAGCAAATACACCAGCCAAAGGAGACAGAGGGACTGGTCCTGTGGGGAGGCACTGTCCCAGCCACCTGGTGAGCAAAGATGTCAATGGACGGGGGAATGGCAAGCACAAGGCAGGGTGAAAGGCAGGCCATTCGAGGACCTGCAGGGTCAGGAGGGCCAGGGCCCGCAGAGGGCGCCCAGAGCAGGAGCGCAGTGGGAGGGGCGAGCTCAGGTTGACCCTCTGCCTGAGGATTCTGAGCAAGGCAGTGAGCTGAACTGAGCACGGAAGACTCGCTGCGGCTGCTCCATGGAGCCAGCAGGAGAAGCAGCTGGGAGGGAACCCCCAGCAGCCACCCAGGTGACAGACGAGGTCACACAGGAGGGGCCAAGGAGCATGGCAGGGAAGGAGAGAGGGAACGCCTTCCAGGCACAGGGCAGAGGGAGCGACCACGGAGGACAGCAGGACAGAGAGGGGCTACTCCCACAAGTTCACAGAGAATGAACAAGAGGATAAAGTGCATGTTTCCGGGAGCTTTCTGAAGATCCCTGTGTGTGTCAGGTGCATCCCAGGAAAAGCCCTGCAGCCGCAATCACCCCTTGGGCTGGCGTTTGAGCAACCAGTGCTTTCATCAGTCCCGCGTGCATCATACTCGTGGTCTCCACGTGGCCACCACGTACTATTTCAGATTCACAATTATTCTAGAACAATACAATGACGAGCCATTTACTTGGCACCCAGAAAAAAGAACATTACAGGTGGTCTCTTGTAGGTCTCTCACGGACCAAATCTCTCCTGTACCACGGTGGTGACCAACCATATCCTAAATTTGAAGCTCGCCATGCATAAGTTAATATTTTTTTCAAGGTCAAAGTCACAGAGAGAGGGACATTCGCTGGTTCACTCCACAGATGGCTGCAATGGCCAGGGCTCGGCCAGGCTGAAATGAGGAGTTAGGAGCTTCATCAAGGTCTCCGGCGACGCAGGTGGCAGGGGCCAAGCACTAGGGCCATCTGTTGCTCTTCCTGGGCTCATTAGCTGGGCGCGGGATCAGAAGTGGAGCAGTTGGGGCAGGACCCGGTGCCCACACGGGATGCCAGCATCACAGGCAGCGGTTTTACCTGCTACACCACAATGCCAGCCCCACGCACACATGATCTTACCAGAGCTGTCCCTACTAATATATTATTTTGGATTCTTCAGACATTACACAAATAGCATACACACTCACATATTTTTCAGCGATTTGCTTTTTTCATTTAAAATTATGCTTGTGGGAGTCACGTTGATTTCTATAAAACAAATTAACTTTCATCACTACTTGGCAATTCCACTTAAATTACTGCAGTTTGTCTAGGTATCTGCAGAATGTTTATTTGCATTTTTTCACAAAACAGTGCAACAGTACAAGGTCTGAACAAATTTTGTACGCCCTAGTGCACACGTGTGTAAAGTCTCTCTTACACACCCAGGAGTGGAAATACTGAGCTGTAGGCTATTTTCAACTGCACTAAATTTTGACAAACTGTTTCCTGAAGTTGCTGAATGAATTTACTTGAACGTCAGCAATGTTGCTAGTTTTCTACACCCATGCCAACACTTGCGACAGCCATGCTTGCTCATGTGTGTGAGTCGGATGAGTGTGAAGTCGCATCCTTTTAGTTTTCATTTCTCTCATTAATGAGGTTGGGCGTCTTTTTCTGTTTAAATCGTGGACTGTTTCTGATCTTTGCCACATCTCCTGTGGGTGGTTTTGCCATTTTCTGGTTAACGTGGGAGACGTCTTGTACATCTCTTGGATCCTAACCTTCAGCCTGTTACAGGCTCCTCGCTGGCTTTTCAGCTTTTCTGATCTATTAATTGCAAGAAATTTAAAGTTTTAACGAAACAAAAGTTATCAAACTTTCTCTTCATCTGCATGTTTTTTATCTTGGGAAACAGCTCCCTTGTGAGATCACATGCCTATTCTTCTCTGTTTTCTCTCTGCTTTTCCAGTTGGGTCTCTAATCCATCCAGGTGCGCCGTGAGAGAAGCAAACATGTTCTTCTCCATGTGGGCACCCAGTCATTATAGCATCATAGTAGCACTTCATGCAGCTTCCACCATCGCGGGGCACCTGCATCCTATCCACCACATGCCGGGCTCCACATGAGCCAGGTGTCTCCAGGGGCCAGGTCTCTCCGAGAATCAGGTCTCTCTGGGAGTCAGGTCTCTCCAGAAGTCAGGTCCCTCTGGGAGCCAGGTCTCTTTGGGGGTCAGACCCCTCTGGGGGCCAGGTCTCTCCGGGAGCACACCACTCCATTGTGTTTGCCTGTCCGTCTACCCCTGCATCATGGCCTTGCCTCAATTATTGTGGCTTTACAAAAAACCATGTTATCTGGTAGTCAAACCCCCTCAGTCTTGGTTTTTCTTTCATCTTTCATTCTTACATCCACATTTTAGAATTATCTTTGACACAGAAAAATCAATGCCAGACTTTATTGGAATTGCAGTAATTTTACTGAATGATTGGAAGAGATGGTATCTTTAAGAAAATTTGCCTTTTTATCCATGATTGGTATGTGATTCCATTTCCCTACTTCTTTTTGCTTTTTTAAAAATATTCTTGTTTTGAAAGACAGAGAAACAGAGAGAAGGAGAAACACAGATATTCTATCTGCTGATTCACTCTCCAAATGGCCACACCAGCCAGGGCTGGGTCAGGTGGAAGCCAGGAGCCAGAAATTCCATCTGATTTCACATATAGGTGACAGGGGCCCAAATACTTGAGCCATTTCCTATTTGCCTTCCCAGGCACATCAACAGGAAGCTGGATTGGAAGTGGAGTAGTTGGGACTCAAAATGACACTCCAATATGGGATACTGGCACTATACCCTTCTGTGGCTGTCTTATCTCACTTAGTGTGATGTTTTCAAGGTTTATCCACGCAGTAGCATGTACCAGAGTTCCATTCCCTTTAGAAGCTGAGTGATAGCCCGTTGTATGCATATGCCATGGTTTGTTTATCCATTTCTCTACTGGTGGGCATTTGGGGTGTTTCCACCTTTTGTGCATTGTGAATACAGGAGCCATAAACATGGATGTACAAGAGCCTAAATGCTGGGGCTGGTGCTGTGGCGTAGCAGGTAAAGCTGCTGCCTGCAGTGCTGGCATCCCATATGGACGCCAGTTCAAGTCCTGGCAGCTCCACTTCCAATGCAGCTCTCTGCTATGGCCTGGGAAAGCAGTGGAAGATGGCCCAAGTCCTTGGGGTCCTGCACCTGCATGAGAGACCTGGAGGAAGCTCCTGGCTCCTGGCTTTGGATCAGAACAGCTCTGGCTACTGCGGCCATCTGGCGAGTGATCCAGTAGATGGAAGACCTCTCTCTCCCTCTCTCTCTCTTTCTGATTCTGCTCTCAGTAACTCTGCCTTTCAAATAAAAATAAATAAAACCTATATATATATATATATATATATATATATATATATATATATATATATATAAAAAGCTAAGTGCCTACTTACCAGGATTTCTGGGTCATGTGGTAATTCTGTTTAACTTGTTACAGGACTGCCACGCTCCTTTTCCACAGTGGTTGTACCATTTTACAGCTCACAAACAGTGCACAAAAACTCTGATCTCCACAAGGGCTAACAAGGACACTCGCCACTTTCCATTTGCTTTCTTCTGTTTATAAAAGCCATCTTAATGGGTACAACGTAATGTAATAATACCTCCCTGTGGTCCTGATGCGTATTTCCCTATGAACCAGTAATGCTATTTCTTCATTTGCTTACAAGTCATTTATAATTTCTTCTTCACTCACGTCTTTTGTCCACTAATGGTTGTTACGGTTGGCAAGTCGTGGAAGTTGACTGTATACCCTGGGTATTAATCCCTTACCTAATGCCAGATACATGGCTTGCAAACATTTCTCTCATTCTGTGGGTTGTCTTTTTATCTCTTAACAGTGCCCAATGATGCACAAACGTGTTTAATTT